GTTTTTAGGTTATAATAATTCCATCAAAATCAATCTAAATCCATAAGAATAAAAATCTACTACCTTCGTCCCTTAAATCTTTACCAAAGTTGACCAGCACGGAGAATAATAAAGTAAAAACTGTGTGGTTGAGATTTGTGCATAGGAGAGAAAAAACAGAAACACAAAATAATTGATTAAAAGGGAAAGTGGCAAAGTTTTTTGGGACGTCCCAAAAAGGAAAGATGGCAAAGTTTTAAGGGACGAAGGGAGTATGTAATAGTTAAGGATAGGAGAATTAGAAAGAATCATTTACAATCTGAATTGAGGACATGTAGATTCCACTGGAATTCCAAATTCCAACGAAATCCAAATTGGAGACACCACCTAAGTACATACTCTCTCTACCCCTTAAAACTTTACCAACTTTTCTTTCTTGGTTGTCCCACTAATTTTTTCACTTTTCCTTTTAAGTAAAAAATTTGTGGTTCCGTTTAATTCTTTCTCCTCTGCACAAACTTCAACCACACAGTTTTTACTTTATTAATTCTCGTCCCGATCAAACTTGATCAAATTTTAAAGGACAGAGGAAGCACTATATACTATCTCCGTGCTACAAACATTATGACATGAGGATGTGGTGTTGTTATTAATAAAAGTGAGTTTATGTGATGATATTGGATTGATAAAGTAAGAATAATGATTTAGAATAAAATATTTGTTACCAAATTTGGAATAAGATAATGTTAGTGGGCCAGTTCGAAAAGGAAAGACGTGTCAATCTTAGCAGGACTAATGTTGTACAATATACTAGTATGAAATTAAAACGTTATTTGAACATGACGTTATACAAGCAACAAATAAGGTCATCTAATTTCATCTTTTGTTTTTCCAATAAACGATGACTTATTTTTTTTCCTGTTTTCCTGAATCTCGTTCAATTTCAACCGCATAAAAAACTAATTCCTCTTGAACGTGTGAAATAGTCAGAGTTTCAATCAAGTCATTTTACTAATATCTATTTTCTACATTTGTAGTAGACTTAAATGTGGTTTTTTCCTTTTTAGAAGTAGATTGGGTAGTCATGCCTAATTAATTGACATCAATTAATAAAACCATCAATATACTGTCCTCTATTTATTTTTAGTTGCAACACAACAAACTTTACACTATATATTCAAATGTTCTACTTTAAATATATTTTATTTATTAATGTTTAAAAAATAGGAATAATGGACAAGAATAATCTCAACCATTAGTGATCTGCTTGAAATAATTCAAACTATCGATTATCTCAAAATAATCCCAACTATTGAAAAATCTTATCAAAATACTCACTTACTCATAAATATTTATGAATAATTATAAGTCACCGGAGTATTTTGAGAAGATTTTTCAATAGTTGAGATTATTTTGAGATAATTGATAGTTTGGATTATTTCAGGCATATCACTAATAGTTGGGATTATTCTTGTCCATTTTTCCTAAAAAAAATCATTTTATAAAATAGTCTTGAATTCGTCTCATTCTAAATTTTCATAATCTAATTTTTAATTTTTTATTAACAAAGAATTAATTATAATGACGATTAATGTTGTGTATAGGCAAACGTGAAAATGAGAATATTAAACTAAAAAAGAACAATGAAGTATTATTTTCAATCTCATTATTCATCTTAATAAGTTTGAAAATACATTATTCATAGATGTCCCTTTACTCAAAGTTCTGTCTTTGGTTATTTTCTTACTCTTTGGCATTCCCCCATCTCATGACATACATAAAACAACTTACCATCTCACGCTCTTTTGTTGAGGCCGTTGAAGATATTTTTATTGTGATCAAGTTTGCTAGAAATAGCCTTGTTTAGTTAGCCTGATATTTTTATCTATTGTACGAACATATTTTGAATATTTTGCTAATTATGTACATATCTTTTCCTTCCTTATTATTCTCCTACTTTCCCTATTGTGTTTACGTTAGGAGTAATATTAGGAATAGAAGTTTCCTTGTTTACTTTTGACTCAACCGTATAAATGGTGTAACATATTGTAATACACACACGGAAGAGTATTTCCTCTACATATTTTTACCTTCCCAGTTCCATCGTTTATCATGGTATCAGAGCCGACAGTTTGATCCTTACGTTGTGCGCCTGAAATTTTCACCGACGACCATGTCTAATACACAGCCGTCGGACATCCCAAAAAATGAGCGCAGGAGAGTGAACGATCCTAGGGGTGGGCATGGGTCGGGACGGTTCGGGATTAGGGTTATCCCGGTCCCGTCCCAATTAATAATAATGGGACGGGACGGTACGTGACAAGCCTTTGTCCTAGTCTTGTCCCATTTAAATCGGGACCGAGATGATTCGGAACAGTTCGGGACGGTTCGGGACGTCCCAAACTAACAAAAAATAATCATTTGTAACTAATATATTAGCATTTCTAAAATATCATGCACCAAAATATTAACATTTTAAAAGTTAATTGATGTTCATCACAAGCTAAAAGCTACTACGTATTAGATTTTAGTTAGGTTTAGCAAAATTTGAAATTTAAATTTAAAACAAAGCAAAAATGAATTAGTTTATTCAAAATCATGTGTTCTAGTTGTGAGATAATAATATGTAGATATATAAAGTGAGGTAAAAACCTATGTTAGTAAATAAATATATTTATGTTAGGTATTATTTTTAATTTAAAAATTGGGCTTGAAAAACTAAAAACATATTATCATTTATTTTTTGAGTTGACATTACAAACTAGTCACATGCAACAAAATCTATATAGTTATTACAAACGGGACAACGGGACGGTTCGGGATAACCTTCCATTGTCCCGGTCCCGTCCCGTTTTAAACCGATACGGGACCGGTGCGGGACAAAATCAATGAGACCCAAACGGAATGGGACAACGGGATCGGGATTCTTGCCCGCCCCTAAACGATCCTGGCTCACCATATTTCCTCCATAGCTCCGATATACTTGGCGTGAACATTTGTGGTATCACGCTTAGGGGAGAAGAAAATTACCGTGAATGGTCAATAACCATACGGAATGCATTTTGGGCAAAATGGAAGCTCGGATTTCTCGTTGGATCAATTACTATTCCGGAAGATAAATCTGGAATTGAGGACTGGTACACGGTAAATTCCATGTCGGTTGGATGGCTTGTGACATCGATTGAACCAAAGCTCCATCATACAATTGCATACATGGACTCGGTCCATGAATTATGGAAGATTTGCAGATTCGTTTCGAAGCAGCAGACGACATGAGGTTTCACGAACTAAAACAGGCTCTACAAGACTGCAAGCAAGGTGGGGATAGTGTAACAACATACTTTGGCAGGCTGAAAGTCATTTGGGATGACTATGATGGATACAGGAAGATACCGAAGTGTAAGTGCGGTGGTTGTAAATGTATTCTTGAAAAACAATTCCTTGAGGCCATAGAGAAGAAAAAAATTCACGAATTCTTGCTGGGACTTGACGGTGCAATCTATGGCAGTCTGCGCTCCAACATTTTAAGTATGACCGAACTTCCTACACTAAACAAGGTGTATCACACAATGCTCCAGGAAGAACGACATCAAAAAGTTACATGAGGACAGGATGTACGAGGAGAAGCGGCGGCCTTTGCAGTTAGGACCGGAGGGCAGTGGCAGTCCGCACATGTGAAGGACAAATCCAAGCTTACGTGCTCATATTGCAAGAAAACAGGGCATGACCGAGATCATTGTTTCAGACTCACCGGTCAGTATGTGGAGTGGTGGAACGGGAACAAAGCTGGACGTGGCAAGGAACGTTTTGGGTCAGCCGGGAAGGATGGCAGTAGGGGTCCATTCGGGGTGCAGGCCAATGCAATTACTGGAAGCCCAGTTAATGAAGAAAATTCACATGCAGACTCTAAGGCGTTTCCCACACTCACGGCAGACCAATGGAATTCTCTCCTGGAGTTCGTGAAAAAATATAATGCAGGTGATAATGTTGAGAAGTTGTCAGGTACGGCTCGGTTTAAATGGCTTCTTGATACCGGGGCCTCGTATCATATGACTGGTGATAAAAGTCTGATGTTTGATATGGCTAGAGTGAATACTGTTTCTGTGACTCTTCCTAATGGGAATGTAACTTTTGCTAGTCATATTGGACGAGTGATGATAGGAGAAGGAGTAATTCTCGAAAGAGTACTTTTGGTGCCTAATTTGACGTGTCATTTAATTTCTGTCAGAAGACTTATAGATGATCTCTCATGCCATGTTGTGTTTGCTAACAAGTTTTGTGTGATACAGGACCCAACTTTGAAGACGCTGATTGGAGTGGGTGAACGTCGTGGTGGGGTCTATTACCTATGTGGAGTTTAATCGGTGCAGGCTTCACATGTGACTAGAGTTAGCACAGAGGAACTATGGCATAAACGTATGGGACATCCATCTCACCGGGTGATACGAATGCTTTATGTTTGGCAAAATAAAATTGGTGATAATAGTGTTTTTAATAAGAGTTGTGATATTTGTGCTCGTGCCAAACAGACACGTGAAACATTTCCTTCTAGTTTGAATTGTTCTTTGCATGCTTTTGATCTCATTCATTGTGATTTGTGGGGTCCTTATCGGGAACCTAGTACGTGTGGTGCATATTACTTTCTTACTATTGTGGATGATTATTCGCGTGCGGTTTGGGTTCATCTATTGGCAGGGAAAATGGAAGTGCCTAATATTATGGAACAATTTTTCGCCATGGTTAAAAATCAGTTTCACACTTCTGTTAAAATTGTTCGAGCCGATAATGGAACTGAATTTTTACCACTGCGAAAATATTTTCTCAATAATGGAATTTTGTTTCAGACTTCGTGTGTCGGGACACCCCAACAAAATGGGAGAGTTGAAAGAAAACATCGTCATATTTTAAATGTGGCATGGGCTTTACGTTTTCAGGAAAATCTGCCCAACCGATTTTGGGGAGAATGTGTGTTGACCGCTTGCTATTTAATCAACATAACACCGTCTATTGTGAATAATGGAAAAACTCCATTTGAATGTTTGTAGGGTGTGGTTCCATGTTATGATCATATTAAAATGTTTGGATGTTTATGTTATGTTCATAGCAAAAGTTCCGATAAGTTTGATCAACGTAGTCGGAAATGTGTTTTCTTGGGCTATTCTTATTCTCAACGAGGGTGGAAAGTGATGGAATTGGAATCTAAAAAACATTTTGTTTCACGAGATGTAAGATTTGATGAAACTCAATTTCCTTTTGATCTCAAATTGGTTCCCTTATCCACGCATTCTGCTGGTGACATGGTCATGGAGTCTAGACCACACATTCATGATGATGATCTGACAGATTTTGGTCTCACACACCAACATGGGCAGCGGACCAATTCATCAAGTGGTAATTTCACTACCATTGAGGTTCCCATGCAAACTAATATTGTCATGCCAGATGGACCATCTGGTCAACCGGTGGAGGCTGAAGACTTAACCCACGTGGAAGAAGCTACCACGCATGACACATCCCAAGGCATGCAAAGTGATACAGCATCCAGTACTCCACTTGGACGAGGTTTGAGACGCAAGTTTCCTTCTGTCCATTTACATGACTACGTACAAACTCACGCAGCGACCACAGCCCCACACTACCACCCCACCCAGTCTTCATCTTCAGGTACTCCTTATCCCTTGACTAGTTACGTAAATTATGATGCTTATTCTGTCCGCCATAGAGCTTTTCTTGCAGCCATTTCTAATGAGAAGGAGCCTAATTCTTATCACGACGCGGTTCGTGATCCGCGTTGGAGGGAGGCAATGCGTAAAGAGATTGATGCCATGGAGGCCAATGGAACATGGATTTTGGTGACGATGCCCACACACGAGAAGCCTATACATTGTAAGTGGGTGTACAAAATTAAATATAAAAGTAATGGCACCATTGAACGTTTTAAAGCCCGACTTGTTGTGTGTGGGAATCGTCAAGTAGAAGGTATTGACAATCATGAGACTTTTGCTCCGGTTGCAAAAATGACCACTGTCAGGACTCTTCTAGATGTTGCTACTGCCAAAAATTGGGAGCTCCATCAGATGGATGTAGATAATGCCTTTTTGCATGGCAAGTTGAATGAAGAAGTCTATATGTATCCACCACTCGGATTTTCTACCACACGGCCTAACCAGGTCTGTCTCTTGCAGCGTTCCCTCTATGGGCTTCGCCAAGCCCCGAGATGTTGGTTTTCACGCCTCAGTAATGCTCTTATTTCTTATGGTTTCATCCGCTCATATGCTGATTATTCTTTATTTACCCTACGCAAGGGTCATGATTTTGTTTGTATCATGGTCTATGTTGATGATCTCCTTATTGCTGGGAATAATTCTTCTCTCGTTGGTGCAATCAAGAAGCACCTAGCGGCATGTTTTCCTATCAAGGACCTCGGGCGTCTCAAGTATTTCTTGGGTCTTGAAGTTGCTCGTAGCCCCACTGGAATTTTTTTATGTCAACGGAAATACACTTTAGACCTTCTTGATGAGCTTGGGATGTCTGGATGTAAACCCTCGGATTTTCCTATGGAAGCACACCACAAACCGCCCGTATCCACGAGTCCATTATTTTCTCAACCGGAACGTTACAGAAGGGTCATTGGCAAACTAATTTATTTAACATTAACGCGTCCGGAATTGAGCTACTATGTGCATATTCTCGCACAACTTATGCAATCACCTCGAACAAACCATTGGGATGCAGTTCTTCGTGTTATTCGCTATCTTAAGGGCCAGCCCAGACAAGGTATATTGCTTTGTTCTGCTTCTGATTTGCGTCTTCAAGGATATTGTGATTCTGATTGGGCCGCCTGCCCAATTAGTAGACGCTCCCTTACTGGTTATTTAGTGATGTTGGGTGGCTCTCCGATTTCTTGGAAAACAAAGAAACAGCCCACCATGTCCCGTTCATCTGCCGAAGCGGAATATCGGTCAATGGCCACTGTGGGGTGTGAACTACTTTGGCTTAAACGTCTCCTTCTCTCTCTCGGCATTTCTCATTCGCGTCCCATGGAGGTGTTTTGTGATAATCAAGCCGCTCTCTATATCGCGTCCAATCCCATCTTTCATGAACGGACAAGACATATCGAGATTGACTGTCATTTTGTCCGCGATCTTATACAACAAGGAACTCTTTTTACAAAGCATATCGGTTCTTCTTTACAACTAGCGGACATCTTCACCAAATCTCTTGGATCGCAACAGTTTCATTTTCTCATGTCCAAGTTGGGCGTGCTTAACCTGCCCGCTTCAACTTGAGGGGGGTGTACGAACATATTTTGAATATTTGGCTAATTATGTACATATCTTTTCCTTCCTTATTATTCTCCTACTTTCCCTATTGTGTTTACGTTAGGAGTAATATTAGGAATACAAGTTTCCTTGTTTACTTTTGACTCAACTGTATAAATGGTGTAACATATTGTAATACACACACGGAAGAATATTTCCTCTACATAGTTTTACCTTCCCAGTTCCATCGTTTATCATCTATTTATTAGAATAGGCTAGAAAGGAATAAAACCACTTATGTTATGGCCAATTTCCCAAGGTTAGGCCTTTTTCAGGCAAGGTTGTACACCCTATGCATATAAATATACGCTTAGGATGTACACCGCCTAACTTTCCGCTGAATCATTTTCGATATACAGTAGCCACAACTCTAGTTCTCAATATTTTGTGTTAGAGAAAATTCATCTGTTCGAAATCTGATATATCATTCGAATGAAGATTCTATCATTCATCAGTTCTCTATTGCGCATCCATAGCTGCTAGATAATCGCTCAAAATAGGGACCAACAACTTGTATCAGAGCCGACTAGTGAAGATCATCTGCGAAGAATACTTTGTTTTTGCTTTTTCGATATTTTCGAATTCTTGCTGTTGTAATGTTTTTTTTATTCGAAAAATTGTAATAGATATACTGCTGAAATTGCCTTCTCGAAACAATTAGACAGTATATCTGCATTTTTTATTTCTGCAAACTTAAAGATTTCGATATCTCGATATCTGCATTCGAAAATAGGTTTTCTCGAGCTTCAGAAGGATTTTTCGAATTGAAATTGATGAAGGACGTTTCTCGAAGTACAGGTTTTCGCAGCAGAAGTCTTTGAATTTCAGAAAACAGAATTTTCTAAGGACAGGATTTCAAATTCAAGTTTTTGAAACTTAAGTTTTCGAACCTGCTTTTTGAATTAAAACTTTCAAATCCTAATTCTCGATGTTTGAATTTCTCGAACTCAATTTTCGAATTTCAAATTTTTGAGCTTGACTTTTCGAATTTTGAGTTTTCAATGTTTACTTTTCGAATCTTTTGTAATCATACTCGATTGTACTTATTGGCTTCGGCCCTCTTGTAACATACATTTGGATTTTTCCTTGTTGGATGAATGAGTACATGCCTTCGGGCTTTTGGTACATAATATGTTTCCCTTGACTGTTTTTTGTTTGAATGTATGCCCTCGTTTTTTTTGAATGTATGCCTTCGCCCTTTCTGAATGTATTCCTTCGCCCTTCTTTGAATGTATGTCTTCGCTTTTCTGAATGTATGTTTAGGACTTAGAATATACTCTTCCAAGTGTAGTGCTTCTCGTAGCCCTCGGCCACTAAGCGTGTTTAGTCAGTTGAACCTTTCACCGAGGGAACAATGTTCAGGACTTAGAAATATTTCTACGTGTTTGTTCATCTGTGGCCCCCGGCCGGTTACTTCCCTCTGGTTTTGTGTAGCTCTCATGAGATAGCCGGAAGCGAGGTGTTCAGGACTTAGAAAATTTTCCTAAGTGTAGCTTCACCAAGCCTTCAACCGTATGGCCCCTCGGGCAGCGTGGAGATTTTGACCGAGGGTCAAAATTTGTAGGACTTAGAAAATTTTTCTAAGTGTATTATGTATGAAGTAGGAGCCCTCGGGTGACTGTGAGGCCCCTGTCTCAGATATGCCTTCGGTTGACTGGTGGCTCCACGGGGGGCAAAGCATTTAGGACTTAGATTATTTTCTCTAAATATTTCCTGCTGCTGGCCTTCGGGAGGGGACCCTTCGGCTGTATATGTCGTATATTCAGGATAGTTTCCTTTGCCTTGTGATGTTGACTTGTGGCAATAAAAAGCCTTCGGTTGCTTGTTATATCCCCCCAATGTTGCTATAGGAGAGTTTGTAGTCCAAGTCTAGCATAAAAAGGCAGACTCCCTCGGGAACTGTCTGGATGTATCCCCTCGGCATGTAGTGAGGTGCCGGGGGTGATTCTTGATTTTGATTTGGCCAACATCTGATAGCTTTGTCATAAAGTAGCCTTCGGTAACGTTTTGAGTTGTTTGAGCCTTCGGTTTTAGGTATAGCCGGAGGTAATCCTTGAGTGGACTTAGCCATTTGTTGATGATGTCTGTGTTGAATGGTATCCTTGGTACTCATGAGCGTCCAGGTACCGGAGGCGTTCCCTTGGGGAGCCCTCGGTATGTTTCTGTGAATTGTTGGAGTGATGTACTCATTGATTTCTCGCCGAGTCTACTCCCCTTCACACCCCCCCCCCCCCCCCCCCCCCCTTTTTTTTTTTTTGAGTAGTGAAGGGAAGGCTTCAAGAAACTTGGTTTCTTGGTAAGGCTTGGCCTATCGGGAGGTAACAGAATACACCATTAGCTCCCCCCTCGGGTTAATGATACGCACTAGTTGTTAGTGTCTAAGTATACATTTTTATTATTGTTTGTAATGTTTATTTACTAGTTTTGTGCAAGTTTATAGTTGTTAGTTTGCATTTGATTGTAATCGTATTTCTAGCATTTTATTGTTTGTTGTAAGTTGTAGTTAGTTTGACTATAAGTTTAGGATAGGTTTGGAAGCAAAAAGGATGAAGAAACCTGAGTTTTGTGCAAAACCCGGTCGGGTATGGACTTCACCCGGCCGGGTATGAAGTGACAAAGGAAACTGCTGCAAAACTAGCAAATACCCGGTCAGGTATTCCATATACCCGGTCGGGTATTCTGTGATTTCGGACCAAAGAACGTGCAGAAGACACAAAAACATGGGAAAATATTTGATTTGGTAAATACCCGGTCAGGTATGTCAAAATACCCGGCCGGGTATCCGGCATTAGGTGTTGAAAACACCTATAAATAGCCCCATTTTCCTTCACATTTCATGATCCCTTCTTCCATACTCTTAAGCTCAGTTTAGAATAGCATTTCTTTATATTTTTCTAGCTATGTTTAGTCTCCAAATGAGGAGCTAAACTCCCATTCTTGGTTTTGCTCTTGAAGCTTGTTGATTATTAAAGTTGTGAGTTATTTTCTTAACTTCTTCTCTTGATTATTAATTCTTCCCTTAATCTCATTCTATATTAATGTTGGAGGGTTGCTAAGTGACGATTAGTTAACGTTCCAACATTAATTATTACTAGAAACGATCAACGAACCGATGGTTAATCGTTGGTGGTTTCACAAGTAAGTAACTTCGGTTTATTAATGCACGGTCGTGGTTAATAGACTTAAGAGGGATTAATTTTGTTGGTTAAACCGAAACCGTTGTGTTAAGGTTATCAATCTCAATTGATTTCATCAAGGAGTTAAAAAGATTGAATGCTACTATTATATCGATATACGGCGTTGTCCTATATTTGATTAATAGTAAGGGTTATTAATGAACGGTCGTTGTTAATAACTACCCTCGATGAATTGGAGATACTCCTCGATTGAGTATTCGAGAGGGGATAAGTTATAGATATAACAAGGATCAACTAAAATATATCAACAAGTGGAAAGTAGCAAAGCCAAGTCCCTTTTATTCTTGAATTAAACACATATAGGTTGTTCATCTTAGTTTCTTAATTGAATTAAATCACTCAAAACCAAAACCCCCCTTTTAATTACTAGTTTCATAAAAAGAAAATCATTCCTTTCCCTGTGGATACGAACTCTACTACGCTATACTACGTATAAGTGTTTAGTATTGAATTTATTTGACGCACCGTGACAAAGTGCTCGTCAAATTTGGCGCCGTTGCCGGGGAAAGACAATTATTTTTCTTTTTATTTTATCTCATAAAAATCAAAAACAGAAAAAATAAATAAAAATCTTACTTTTCTATTTTTTGAGCTTTCATGAGTATATGGATACCTACACATCATCCCTAGAGAATCAAATTTCTGACTTGACTTCTCTAATAAAGGAGTTTATTTCATGCTCAAAATCTCAAGATGTCCATACATGCAACATTTGCATGTCACACAGGCATCTTACGGATTTTTGCCCAGAGTTTCAAAAAGAATACTTTGAACAAAGGAATGGTGTTGGTTTCCAAGAGAGATCTGATTCATTCTCCAACACATATAACCCATACTCAAGTTCTTATTCCAGCATGTCCACTGTAGACATGATCCGAGCTCTCACTATCAATGTGACGAATATGCAACAAAATATGTCACAATGCCCGCAAGAAGCAGTGTCCAACGAACAGAACTTGGACAATCAGTTGAAACAAATGCCAAGCATTGTGATCCACATGGGCGAGGAAGAAGAAGAAGAGGAGTTTACGGAGAAAGCTCAACCGGAGGAGGAACCTCAAAACTCAACTCAACCACCGGCCACTCCTGAGATCATACCACCATTTCCCGAGGCTCTAAGGGAAACACAAAGGGTGGAGAAGGACAAAGATATCTATGAAATCTTCACCAATTGTGAGTATAATTTAGACTTCTCTTTGTTCACAAATAAGAAAGGAATAACGGTGGAGTTACACAAATATTTCATACTCCCTCTTATACCACCCGGATCAAAACACCTTCCATTGACCATGCTTAATGAAAATCATGGACCCTCACTCTCACCACATGGTTCAATAGAAATCTGGATATTTGATCCTGGAAAGATTTTCAAAGTGATGGGATGGAAAATTGAGCATTTCTATGAAAGTGTAACAAATGAAAATAAGAAGAAGATGGATTATCACGATCCAAGCTTAAACGACTGAAAAAAATCGTCGTGCCGCGACATTAAATCAAGCGCTTCTTGGGAGGCAACCCAAATTTTTATTTTAATTATTCCCATTTTCAGTTGTGTGTTAAATTTTTTTATTTAAAAAAAAATCTGGGAGGAAAACCCGCCCGGGTATATCCCACACCCGGTCGGGTAAATGCACAAAAATTGGAATACCCGGGCAACACAGCCACCGGGCAAAAAATTGAAAAAATCAATAAAATAGCCTAAAACCCGACCGGGTATTACAAAAACCCGGCCGGGTTTTTGGCCAAAACAGCCATTGCCAAGTGAAAAACAGCATACCCATTCGGGTATTACTAAAACCCGGCCGGGTAATCGAGATTTCAGTCCGTTTTGGTCCTAAATCAGCCCACAAAACACCCATTTTCTTCCCTAATGTCCCAAACTCAAACCCTCAACCTCCATTGACAATCATCCAAGCTTCAAACCACTCCAATCTCAACCAAAACATCCAAATTAACTCCACATTCTTCTTATCCACATCATCCTCTCCGATCCCAAAACCTCCAAAAAAAATGCCATTTCTTTTTCTCCTCACCCTACATTCCAAACCCACACACACAAAACCCACCAAATCCCCCAA